TGCTGGCGTAAAAATCATGTGAAGGTGTACAGCGGCATCGACGTTTTATGATTACGATATTAGTTGAATAGTGATCAAATACCATACACAGATAGAGAGAAAGACGCTCTATTTGTTCAAAAAAAAAAGAAAATTTTTTCAAGCTTTCTGTAAGAAAAAAAAGTACCTGTGCCATTATTTTTGGTACGCCCTAAGTAGAATTTTTTGAAAATATTGTTTTTTTTTATTGTTACTATATCTACATATTTTTAATCACGCTTGTTTTCATGTTCTTCGTTCATAATAAAATTGCATGTCATTTGCATACAATAAGCAAGAATGCTAATTATCATTTAATTCCAAAAAAAATTAAAGCGAAAAATATAATCCAAATATACCATCACTAAGGCGACCATTTCCAAAATTTATTTATTTTATGCTCCTCCTTAGTGGTGTTTTATGAATATGACGATATCTATTGGTTAAAGAATCACTCAATAGAATCATTATTTTCGTTAGGCTGAATGATCGGGTTGGGCTAGCTTCCACGACGTTTTGATACTAGTGCTTTGCTGTGCATGCACAGGATTGGTTAGTCGATTTATACCATTTCAAATGCTCTTTCATTTGAGATATACTTGCACACATATTGTATTTTATATCATCCCAATTTCAGAAAATTTTGGTTTTTATTTCCTTTAGATACAGACTTTATCTTTATCCATTAGTGAGTGTTATGAGTGTTACACCAATGAGGACTACCATTATATTTTTAAAGTAAATTAGAACTGAAATTTTCATTTTGTTGCATTAATAATTAATCTGCTTATCGAGAAAAACAGATTAAATATACATATCCCTATGTATTTCCTTTGACATATCCTTAGTTTTACATATTTTCCTTCTACTTGCTTTAACATCTTTATTTCGATGAGTAAATCATTTGAATTTTTCTTTCGTCTATTAATAAATAAAATGTATTATAAAGTATAATTTTTTGTTCAAAATAACGATTTTCAAAATGTATTAAATTGGATATATAAGAAATTCATTTTTTCAACGTTTCAAATGAAAGAATAATAATATTTTAATGAGCAAATGATTTTTAGATATCAACCAAAACAAAAAGAAAACCTATTGAATGCCTCCACCTCTTGTAACTGGTATATCACCTCGTGAAGGTTGTCCAGGTATAAAAATAACTATTCGAGGTGAAAATTTCGGTACCGATGAAAAAGATTTTATTGGTTTAAAAATTTGTGGTGATGATTGTCGAGCAACAGCTTCATGGATGAGTCCAAATAAAATAGTTGCTTATGCTGGACATGGTCAAGGTAAAGGTGATGTTATTGTTATAACAAAAAGTGGTGGAATTGGTACATGTTCAGTTGGATTTTATGGACGAGTTGAACAAGCAGGTAATTTAATAAAAGAAATGGTTGTTTGTTTTCTTAAGAAGAAAAAAAATCTGTTTTGATTATTAAAAGGACAATTTCAAGAAGTTGCTGTATGGATTGATGAAGATGCAGTAGCTTTATTTGGTTTAAATACATCAAAAGCACCAGCTTTTTTACCTGGTACCGGTGATACAATGAGTGGATCAACTACGGATAGTTCGTAAGTTATTCGAAAGTCTTTTATAATTATGTTAATTGTGCCTTTCTTTTTTGCTTTCTTTCTTTCAGTAATGCTACTCCAGCAGAAGAACTTTATGAAATGTTTCCAACAAGTAAATATTTTTCTTCTAATTTATTTTCTATAATTCCATTAGAATTCTTATTAAAAAATTTACTAAAAAATCCTTTAGTATCATTTATTGATGAATTAGTATGATTGTTTTTATAAAATAATATACCAATAATAGAACCAATTAAACCTAGAATACCAGTTGGTGCTAGAATAGAAGCAATAAGGCTAGCTTTTGATTTAGAATTCGATGAACTTGTATCTTTAATTGAACGATCATCGACTAAATCATTTTTTATTATTATTGTTGTTGTCGTTATCGTAGGAAATATATGATTTAGAATTGTTTGTTGTGTTAAATATGATATAAAATTTTGATTAAAACTACTATCACTACCCGGTGGTTTAGGTGATACACCATCGTTTTTTGCAGTACCATCTAATAATTGTCGTCGTTGAATTAATGATTTAAGTAATGATGTTTTAAAATGTAGATTATATTCGATAGATAAAGAAATGAAAAGGAAGAAGATGAAGATTTGATATGAAATGATGGATGTCATTTTATGTCTAATGAAACTATTGGCGCTGGTAGACTTAATGAAACTTAATCGATTTTAGACTGATGTTTTATTAGTATTTAACATATTGTGGAAGGATCTCTTCTTGCTTTTGAAATTTTTTGTTCTCAATTTATTCCAATAGAAAAAGTTTATAAATGAATCGATACTATCTGCGATAAACTTTAAAATAGACTTTTATTTCTCATCATGATGATTCCCTTACCTTTGCTACTAAAGCGCCGGACTATTTTACCTATAATCTAGATCGATCTATTATTATCGTCTATATTTCATTTCTTTCCTTTTGGAATTTATTTATTTAATAATAAGTGTATAACAGTTTCACATTTGTCAAATGATTTCCAAAAAAAAAGTGAAATTTATTAATACATTTATTCGTTTGATTAATTATACAGAATATTATATCACTAAGAGCAATTCAAAAATAATAGCAAAGATACTTTATTTCCCTATAGAAATAATGAGGAAAGTTTCTCTTTATATTGTAATGTTAATAAAAGCAACGCTCGATTTTTTTTTCTTTGATATTTGTTTATTCTTCAACTAATATTATAATATTAAGATTTCGATAACTGTTGTTTTGTTATGATATATGACGATAAAAATTAGATTATATTGTCTTCGATTTATATTCTTGTTTTGTTTTTCTTTTTGTGGATGTTGGTATTTTCTTCTCTCATACACTCAACCATGAATCAGATTGACATTCAATAATAGACAATGATAAATCCTCAGAATATATTTTATAAGTTATTATTAAAATCTGAATCTATCACATTCAATAGAAGTGCATCATTTGTTTATTTATTCATTCATTATTATCCATTTTACTGTACTCTAATGGTTAAAATGCAGAACTACTTATAAAATAAAACAATATTTTATTTTCGTTATTGTGAAATAGATAAGAATACCATCTATATGACGAAAAGTAGTAATATCTTTTCTTATAAAAAATGTTTATATAAGTAGTTATTTGTTTCATGGGATGGAATTGTCCCATCCCATGTAGAGCGCTAGTTTCCATCTGGAGAACATTTCAAAAAATTTCAGTTCGTATGAGCGCATCCTTTTGTACAGATCTCGAGATAGTTTTGATTTATTGCGAAAATATGTAAAAAAAAGTAAGTCTTATATCTTTTTCTTAGGTAGTACTGATATAACTCAACCAAATTTTAATCCATATTATTATTTACTTGCTCATAAATCAAATGCTACGTAAGTGAAATGTTTATTTGTTTTTTTTTTAATAAAAGAATTGAAATTCATTTGAATAAATCTAGTTTTGATGACTTACGTAAAGATTATCAACATCTTAAAAGAACTCAAGTTGATAATAGAGGTGCATCAACAACACTTGTTAAAAATAATATAGCATCATTTATGGAAGCTGTTGATATAATGAAAGGTTTATTTATTTGAAAAAAAAAAAGAAAAAAAAAGTAATTTTTTTCTTTTATATTTAGATATTCGACGTTTATCGGCAGATGATCGTAGGAAAAATTTTTATGAAACAGTGATCAAATTAGTTGAAGGTCTTCTTTTATATTTAGAATTTATTTAAAATATGAGTATCTTTTTCTTTTTGTTCTCTTATAGAAATTTCTCGTATTGCTCATTCCATGTATGATACGGATTTAGCCCGAAAAGATTATTCAGATACAATACGTAATGCATTAAATGTTATACAAAGATATAAATTTATTTTTCATTTACCACAAACTATTGAACGAAGTGTCAAACGAGTATAATGAATGATTAGAATAAAACAAAAATATAGTTGTTATTGTTTTTTTTTTTTCAATTTTAAAATAGGAAGAATATGAAAAAGTAATTAATGATCTTGTACGAGCTCGTGCAGCATTTGAAACTGTTGATTCAAAAGTATTTCGCAATAGTATGTAATTTACATAAAAGATATATTAGTAAATATTTTCTTTTTCGTTTTTTTTTAGTTCAACGAGAAGTTGAACAACAAATACAAAATTTACGTACATTATTTCGACAACGTCTTACAGAATTTCCATCATCTATTGATGATCAAAAACTATTTATTCGTTATTTACATTCGCTTGATCCAAGAGCTGATCCAGCATGGGATTGTATTATACATCAAAAAGCAGCACTTATTGAGGTACTTCGTTCATGTGCAGTTGATCCAAAACAACAACATCAACAATGTAAATCTTTTTATTTTTCTTAAAAAGAAAAAAAAACTCAACAATCTTTCGATTTGAATCCAAAAAATTCTCTCCAAAGTAATAGCATCGTCATAGTCAGTAATACATCAGAAATTTAAACAGATAGAGCCTGTTGAGTTGATCGCAGATCTGAAAATTTTGAACCCGATGGGCTCTAGTCGTTTGAAAAATGTGAAGGATGTGCTAGTCACCGAATACAAGAATCCAGAAAAAACGTATTTTTGTATCATCGGGGCGACTG